GGGTGGGGGCCTGCCCCCTGCCCAAGCCCGCAAAATGCAAAATGCAAAAAAAAAAAAATGCACGCACAAACCCCCCCAAGAAACCCAAAGGCCCTCCCCAAACCCCGCCCTTTGGGTGGCCTGCGATTGCACGAGTCAAATTCTGCAGAGTTTTTAAGAAAACGCCCAGAAGTGACCTCCTCTGACTAGGGGTCAGGGTGGAGAGGACCTTAGACCCCACACTTAGACCCCAGTGGGTTTTGAGGGAAGAAAGGGGGGGGAGCGGATCGTGGAATATTACTCAGCCACGAAGAGGAATGAAATCAATGCATTCGCCAATAAATGTCTGGAACTGGAGATTATCAAGCGAAGTGAAGTACACCAGTCCCCCCCAAACCAAAAAAAAATTTTTAAAAAAATAATAAAAATAAATATCTAGGGCTTCTGGGGACTGCTCACCCACCCTGAAGCCTCATGATCTGTCCCCTCTGGACACCTTTCCTTCATGATAATAGGTTCTACTGCTGAATGCCCTAATTTAATCATGGCACCCTATATTCATGCATCCAGTATGACCGGGTACCCCTAAATTTGCACAATTAAAATCAATTAGAAATTTAGCCAGTTTAGTGGTTTAAAAAACCCAAACCATGCATTATTTATATTTGCTGTGATTAAATGGAATTTTACTTTCAGATTTTAAGAGAAATTAACTGAAAGTAGTTTTGTGAACCTCTCAAAGTCTGGGGCGCCTCTCAGAAGGCCCCTACGGACCAGGGTGCCATCTTGGTGACATTCCCCGCCCCCTCCACCAGGGGGCGCCCCGCAGCATAACCCTCAGGTAGGGGGGATTGTCCACGTCCCCTGGGGTGCAGATAGGGTGGGGGGCCTTCTGCTGCTTAGATGGGGCCTCCCAATAGAGGTCTGGGGTCCTTGGGGGGGGTCTGCCTTTTCTCTGAGGGTCTGCGGTGCAGCTGGGGGCTGGGTGGAGTCTGGGGTCCCTGGGGTCCGGGTGGGGATTTGGGGTGCATGTGGGAGTCAGGATGGGGATCTGAGGTCCACGGGTCCCTGGGGGTCTGGACGGTCTGCTCTTGCAGAAGGGGGAGGGGAGGGATGGGGGGCTGAGGTCTCGGGTGTGGGTGGGGTCTGGGGTGGGGGAGCAGGGTGAGGGTCTGGGGTCCAGATGCAGGTTGGGATGGGGGTCTGGGGTCTCAGGTGGGGTGGGGGACCCGGAATGGTGGTCTGGGGTCCAGGTGGAGGAGGTCGGGATGGGGGTCTGGGGTCCCGGCGGGTGGGTTTGAGCTCTGGGAACCCTGGGGAGGTTCTGGTTGGGGTCTGGGGTCTTGGGGCTCCCAGGGGTCTG